ACGGCTGTGACGGCAGCATCAGACCCCAAAGCCCTGCACTCCTGCCTGTACTCAACCCGAGACATGCTGACAAACCCCGAACTCTGTCACACAGGGACTCACGTGGCCACTGCCAGCCCTGATACCAGGACAAGCAGATGCATCCCACAGAAGAGGGTAAGGGGCCTGCTGAAGGGAAGGATCAGCCCCTGGACTCAACTAACAAACCAACGCTTGGCTGCAGCCACTACAGGGCTGCACAAAAACTGGTGCTGCTTAATGCAAGCTTTTTGATACCAAAGGGAATGATAAGGAAATAGTTTATTTAATAGGAATAAAGACTAGCTGCTCCTCATTTTGAACAACTTCCTTTCAAAAGGATTCTGCTGAAAGCCAAAGAAAATAGAAAAAAAAAAAAAAAAAAAAACAAACAAGATCAGCAAAGGCCTGTCAGTAAGTCAAAAGAAAGAAGGAATGGGTACTCTGTATCATCTTGCTTTTGTTAAAAGACTTCACACATTGTTTCAGCAACTCATACCTGTGAAATCAACATAAAAAATTCTAACATTTAAAAAAAACCAGTGCTCAGCAGCAGAAAATTACACAACATTAAAAAAACAAAATTACTTAAACCACTATTAAACTTCACTGACTCTATCCAGAAAGCTGTTAAGACCTTCCCAAGCAGCTCCCAAGACTAGAATCAAATGGTACAATCTCAAACTAGTTAAACAGTACAAAATTCTGCTGATCCCCTTACATGTTATCACACTTAAATTAAAACTTTTTGTTATTTCAGCAACAGCAAGTACTACCAGCACAGGCATGCTTCACAGCTGATGAATAACTTCCTAAGAGTAGGGAGCTCTGGCACATGAAAAGGAAAATGCAGAAAAGCCAAAACAAATTCTACTTAGTAAAGCATGTAAGAGCATACGCAGTATGTTTCAGAACTCTTTCTTCATATACGGGGAGTCCTTTACACATGAGCTCTTGAGAGTAACAAATTGTTTACTATCATAACTTCCATGTTTAAGTCTAGACTTTGTTTCTGAAATTCAAGGTGAACAAAATCTATGTGCAGAAGTTCTTAGCTGGGTTTGAAGGCGAATTCTTTTGTTAATGTTTTGGAAATATTTTATACTGGAAAACACAGTCTAGTCCCAGAAAGCACAACTTATTAGTGGCAAAATGTTTTAGATGTCATACATAAGTATCACACATTCTTTAATGATACTAAACCAATCATTCAACATGAAAGTTATCTTCAATTGAACTTATAAGCTACACGAGTTTTCTGCATCAAGTAAAAAATAATCTTTAGCATACTATTGTCTCCTTAAGAGTTAGCACAGAAAAATTTCAAAACTTCTGCAATCCACACATTACTTTATCCTACCAAACACTTGAGAATCATGAAAACAGGAATTGTAAGGTAAAGGGTTTATATCTGCATGTAGAGTCTACAGACCTTTGAGGGGAACATAGATTAGTCAAATCTCACCACTCTGAAGGAATTTAGTGGTATTTGTTTTCAATCAAGAAGATGTGCTTAAGTTGCATGTATGTCTAATAACATAAAAAGTCTAGACAGAACAGGTAGGAACCTCAAGCCACTAATATAATATGAAGAATTAAACTGCTGCAGAAATTTAAGATGTACTTTGCTCAACGGTGCTTATTTACAAGGTTGTTATTTGAAGGTCACTGACCATTATAATTATTTCACAAAACAATCTTCTTTTACAGGTCTTAACCTTATAAACACTGCTATTCTTATCAACACACGGCTGTACTAAGAACACATTATCTTTTAGATAAAGACTAACTTCATACTGTTTTTCCTGTTCAACTGTAATGAGGAACACTGCTCACTTAAGTATTTTGTTAGCTTCAGCAAATGAAACATGATGTATTTGGTCAAAACATAGCCTTAACTCCTAAACCTAAGATGTGGGTAAAAAACACTTCCCAAGAACATGGTGAGGCAGAGCTGTTATCTAGAAAAAGCCTAACAGGTTTTGAGGACTCAAAAAACAAATAGGACAACTAATATCTTTTATGCTCTTAAATTAAAAATTATGTCATGTTCTTCAGCATGAACTATTTCCCATGTAGCTCATGTGAAAACAAAGCCATGGGATTATTAGAAAGGCTCATTTAATATGGTTCATAGAGACTCTGTTATCAACAACATTGGTAACTAAAAGAAATCCAAATCATTAGAAGTATCAATTTCAATTTCAAGACTATCTTCAGGTTCCATCTTTTCTTCATTATGCCCTTCCTGTAGATCATCCAGGGAAGCCAGAGCCTCATTTGTATCGCTAGCGAAAGTCTCACGAGATGCATCATCATATTCTTTCAGGTTAAGCCCTTTAATGGCTTTTTTCATCTTCTTTCCTAGAACTTGTATTCTCCTCTTCTTAGCAGCTTTTTTGTTTTCATACTCCTTCTGATTTTCCAGATAGAATATTTCCTTGGAAGAAAACAAAACAAAAAAAAGCTTGGCATATTCACTTTAGTAGTATTTCCTAAAGAAAGCAAATTAGTAACTTTTTTTTTTTTAATTACAAATGCTGTTTAAAATTTAACCAAGATACACATTATTGACAGTAGAAGCATGAGGACAAGCTGCACTTAATGAAAATGTCCCATAAAAAAATATATTACATCCTTTCCTAGTGATTTCAAAGTGTACGGAAATAAGTATCACACATCACAGTAACACAGAGCTCCAAAGGGAGAAATACAACTGCAGATAACGCTGCTGTAAGGTGTATACAGAAATTAAGGAAAATCCAGTGTTTCTCTCTTCAGACTCTACAGTCTTACCATCATCAACAGGTTTTTGTAATTGGCAACATGTAAAACATGTTCTCTCTGCCTATTATGAATGGAAATTCATATGGAGTTCTGTGTTTTTTTTTTTTTTTTCCTTGTATGTTGAATGTGAAAAGCTGGTTTCGTTGGAATAGAGAGTTGAACTTGCTAGCAGTTATGAGAGGGATTTAATCAGAACATTTCTAACAGAAAAATAAAAAATTACTTTGGACAATCATTTGCACTTGTGACAGTTTTACCTTGATTTGTTGTTCATTGATGCTAGGTGTGTTCTTCAGCAGGTTTAAATAAACGCCCCCTGGTGTTCTTCTCCGACTGCCGTTCTTAATAGGAAAAGAGAGGAAAACGGGCAAAACCAGTCCTAATACATATGTGTGGGTATAAAAACTGCATCTAAGACAACGCTTTGTACTGAGACAGAATAAAAGAAGTTAAGTTCTGCTGTGTTAGGTAGTACACAATCCTGGCTATGTTTCATTTGTAATTTAACTAGTCCTAGAGAAGGTCAACAACTGGCTTGCTACATTTGGATGGGTAAACTACAAGCTCACAAAACCCCTGCTTAAGAACATAATACCAAAATGTTCAACTACACAACAAATCTGACTTTGATAGTGAAGAAACAAAACGCAAGCAGTATTCTAACCACTTTCAGAACTATCTGCAATGACGTATATACTAGGATAAATATTCACAACATTCCTAACACATGCTTCAACAGCTTTAAAACTTCTCTAAATTGTAAGCACCAATTATTATACTATTATTCAATTACCATTCACAGTACATGCAGTTGAACTGTTCAGAGCTCCAGAGCTCTGATACTGTAATATATGGGGTATTTGCTGCTAAATAACAAAAAAATATAACCCAAAAGTTCTAAGAACAAAGTAATTTTTTAACTATATTCTTGAAACAACAGATGCCACACAGTTGTATTAGCCTACCAGCACAAAACCCCAACCAAGAGAAACAGTATGATCTGCTTTACAAATGTCATATTCTGATCTGCAGCCAAAGGAACCTGTGCCATCAAGAGTCATGTCCTTTCATGTCCTTGGTAAACACTTCTTATTAATAAGTACTTTAACCTTTAAAGACAATAGACTGTTTTAAGACAAGTTGCTAGCTGGAAAAGTTACTACTTTTTTTTTTTTTTTTTTGAGGGGGGGGGAAACACACAATGTGGTGGTGGTGTTTCCCCACCCCCTCTTTCTACTTCCAGTGATGGAACATAAAGGATGTATATTATAAACAAATGCCTGAAAGTACTTACTAGTTCCCTTCCACTTTTTCTTCTACACTTTTTCACTGAGCTCGTCTTTTAACAAAAGTGTTCAGTGAAACTCATAATCACTAAAGGTAGGATTTTTACCATGACTTGTAACAAAAACCAGTATTCAGTTTTGTTCTACTGATACAAAAGCCAGTGGTTCCCAGATTCCCTTTTGAAAGTTACTCTTCAAATGTGATATTAGAAAAGCTCACTGCTGAGCACGTTGACTTTGGCTGACACGCTGATTAACCCAGTTGCCATCCGAACATCCAGCTGACCCACTGAAGCTATGTGCCAGAGGCCTTACCTCAATCCTAACATCACAAGCTTTTATTCAAGCTTCAGAATTCTTCCCTGGTACGTC